ACCATGCGAACGCGAAGAAGGAAGAAGGATCAGTCACCAAACAGCCTTCGCGATCGCGTTATCATCTTCGCGATTGCGTTTTCATATTCGCGATCGAGTTTGCACCTTTGCGATCGCAGAGAAGAATATCATACACCAGCAGTCAGCATTTCAAAATATGAGAAAATGGCCCATAGCCCACCCGGAACACACCCGAGGCTCCCGGGACCCCGTCGAAACATACCAAGAAGTTCCATAACATAACATGAACCTACTCGAGGTCTCAAATCACATCAAACAACATCAAAACTACTAATCGCACTACAAATCGTACTTAATGAACTTATGCACTTTCAAATTCTACAACTCGCGCCGAAACATATCAAACCAACCCGGAATGACATTAAATTTTGCATGCAAGTTCCAAATGACACAACAGAGCTATACCAACTCCCGAAATTGAAATCCGAACCCGATGTCAACTAAGTCAACTCCAGGTTAAACCTCTCAACCATCCAAATCTTCAACTTTCCAATTTTTGCCAAAATGCATCAAATTAACCTACAGACCTCCAAATCCAATTCCAGACACACGCCTAAGTCCAAAATCACCATACGAAGCTATTGGAATTGTCAGAACACCTTTCCGGAGTCGTCTACACAAAAGTCAAACTCTGATCAACTCTTACCGCTTAAGCTTCNTATATATTTATATATATATCATATAATGTATATATAGTCGAATATAGCTTATATATCTTAAGATGTATATATAGTAAATTGAATATAGCTTTTATATCTCAAGATGTATATATAGTATAAAATCAATCCTGAATCATCCGAAATCCGAATTCGACCACATACGCAAGCCATAACACATAATACTAAGCTACTCGAGACCTCCAAATCCAATTCCAGAAAATAATTCAATCTTTAATAATTTTGGAAAAAGTCAACAAAAGTAAACCCCGAGTCTACTTGGTCAAAACCTGCTATTCAAATAAAAACCCAATTAACCATTCACTCCCGAGCCCAGTTATGTGATTAGTTTCGAAATTCGACCTCAATTTGAGGTCTAAATTTCAATTTCTCAAATTCTTAAAATCCCTAATTTATACCATGAAAAACCATAGATTAAAGGTTAAAAATCAAGGCATGTTTATGGAAATGAAAGGAAACAAATTAAATTCTACTAACCTATGAAATTGGAATAAAAAATATCTTCAAAATTGCCTCTCGGCTGAGCTCAAACTTGAAAATGGTGAAAAATGAGAAGAATCGGGATTTTTAGAAGTTTAAATCATTGGGCGGCAGGTGTTCTTCGCGTTTGCGAGAAACCTGACACAATCGCAAGACACTCTTCGCGTTCGCGGAGGCTTACTCCCCACCAGCCATCGGGTTTGTGAGCCTAGGCTCGCGTTCGCATAGAGTACCTGACAGCTTCCTCCTATATCCCCCCTAACCCTACACGTTCACGAGAGGAAGGTCGTGTTTGCGAAGGGTAAACCCCCTGCTACTTCGCGTTCGCGACCAGATCCTCGCGTCTGTGATGAGGAAATTCCTCCCTAACCCCATTGCCCCTAAGCGATCGCGAAGCACAAGACACTAGATATCAACAAAATAGCTGAAACCAGCATTTTCCTAAGTTTACATAGCTGAAACAAGCATTTTTCTAAGTTCAAGACATCAGATATTAGCAAATAGCTGAAACCAGAATTTTTCTAAGTTCAAATGGTCTGTAGCCTATCCGAAACTCGCCCGAGCCCATCGGGCTCAAAACCAAACATGTACAAAAGTGTAATAATATCATACGAACTCGCTCGCGCAATCAAAACACCAAAATAACATCTAGAACTACGAATCGAACATCAAAATGTATCAAATTTCCAAAGAAACTCAAGAATGTCAAAATTCACAACCGAGCGTCTGAATCCTATCAAACTAACTCCGTTTCGCACCAAATTTTGCAAACAAGTTTTAAATAGGATATTGGAACTACACCAAGTCCCGAAATCAAAATCCGAGCTCGGTAGCCTTAAAGTCAACCTACGGTCAAATCTAAGAAATATTTAAACCTTCAAGTTTCTAGTTTTCGACAAATCAAGTCAAATCAAGTTAGGGACTTTCAAATTCAATTCCGGGCATACGCCTAAGTACAAAATCATGATACGGACCCACCGGGATCGTCAAAATACCTATCCGGGGATGTTTATATAAAATATTAACCGTAGTCAACTTAAGTCACTTTTAAAGATAAAATTTGTGTTTTCTTCAAATTTTTACATAAAATCTTTTCGAAAAAAGACAAGGACAATGCACGCGATTGAGAAACACTAAACGGAACTATTCGAGGTCTTAGAATAAGGAAATAAGGGCTAGCACTCAAAACGACCTATCAGGTCGTCACGGGTTTTAGAACACCACCACATAAGATCTCTGGGGAGTAAAGGTTCAACATATCTGTGACAGTTGGGGTTTGCCTAGTCTCAGCACATAATTGGCGGAGGCAGGCCAGCATACGCTATATGGATTGGCATGCCTGGGCCAAGCACACTTGGTACCGGTAGCAAAATTCTATGATTATTGGTCAATTCCTTCACCCGCTCCCAAGGTGAAAGGACCCAAAATGAAGGGGTAAGTTTAGACATACTTGAACCCCAGCTTGGAGTAGGTAACTCGCTCTATCACATCGGGGGTGAGGATTTCGACGTTGCCCCAATTACATTCCTCATTCACAACAGGGATGCTAGAAGGACGAATGGAAGAATGGTATCTATGAACAGGCATTTAGAGGTGGTTTATGCTCTTGAAAATTAGATGCCGTGCTAAGGTGAAGTGGTATGATGGTGTTTACGGTTGGAGGTTCAGACTAGACGTCAACCTCATTGGTTTTGTTTTTCTTTGGGCCCCCACTGTAAAGAAGGCCAGAGTTTTTGGAGATAGCAGTGTAAGAAGACATGATGATGAGAAATTTGTGAAGAAAATTTTTATTGATAATGCTGAAGTTCTGAAGCATTAATCTAAGAAAAGTTAGAGAAGAAGAGGAAGTTGTAAGAGTAAAGAGTTAGAATGAGGAGTAGTGGAGAAGTTATAGAGGCAAAATGGTGGTCATGATTACCTCGAAAACATGCGGAAATATTTCGAAAATATTTGCTGAACCACGGAGTAACACATGTTCGGGTTATTAATGCGAGAAGATGTGCGTCCTTTCAAGTGTCAGAGTCTATTCAGGGACTTTTTCGCCCAAAAAAACAACTCTTATCTACTTCCCGGTAACACTAAGTTGCGTCACTTGAAAGTAGGGGACTGTCTGTATGGGCTAAAAATTGGTTAATGACAACTGGGCGAATGATGGAGTGAATGTGAGTCAGCAGACAGCTGACACTGGATGCAAGCATGCAATCAGTGCTGAGCGAATCACGAAGACAGAGCAGCCGGTAATAAAGATTCAAAGCTTTGTCATCGGATAACATTCAACGGGCAACTGTTATGCACCCATCAATGACGATTTTATTCTCATTCAAGAGGAGCTTGATTTGATGATCTTGTCTCCCTAAATAGGGCTATATATAGAAAGATTGACATCCATGTTGACACGAAATACTCCACACACAAAAAGTTATAATCTATTGTCATATTACTCTCAATTCTAATCATCGAACATTGCATTCACTCTTGTCATCGGAAAGGCTAAGTTCTTAGTTAGGTTTGTTATCTCCTTTAATCTGACAATTTTACTTTTGTTCTCATTTATTTATTACTTTTGGTTCAAATCGATCCGCTTGTCTATAAAGTACGCTATAAATTTAGCTATACTGTTTTACGGGTAAACATCACATTCACACCGCAATTAAAACCGAACTCATTCAACTACCATCGGGCCTTGTCGCTGGGGACATCCGATAAAAGAATTCCAATTGGCACGTCTCTTTAATGCGTATCTTCAAGAAAAAGAAATAAAAACACTAGAATTTAAATAAATATTAATTATAGGTTAATCTGTATAGAAGAGATTCGCTAAAAAATAAAGGGAAATTCGAGGTTCGTCGATGTTGTTCTTTTTCACTGATTAGTAGGAAGGATAAAGGATTTTTTTTTTCTCTGCTTGACCTTTAAAAACTACATAAAGGTTTAGGGGAAAATGCATGTATCTTGTGCATTCAAGATTATTTTACTGTCAAAAACAAATGCGAAAACCTAATAATCAGTATTTTAACCGCAGCTTCTAGGGATGTGGTAGGGAGAGATGATTCGCAGACATTGAAAGAAGAATATAAAGATGGGAACGTTGTCGAGTTTTATGGGCTCAGTGAACCATTGTTCGTAAGATGGCAAACAAAGTGCCAAAACAGAACAAAGATTAATAATGAGATGTCTCTTAAGAGATAATTGAGAAGTTTATATAATGTTAAGTTATAATCAGTAGCAATTAGTCTCTAGTGACATTGGAAGCCACTCAGGTAACATTCACACAATATGATGATAAGATCACAGTAATGGGAGACTTTACACTAATAAGGGGATGGAATTCCAGCAATATGGATTTAACTAATTAATAAATATAGAACTGAGAATATGCCACGTCCTTAATTCATTGCTTCTGTACTTTTTTTCCTTAATCTAGAGCAAGGACAAGGATCTTTTTATCTGGTTCAGGCCCCATAGCCTATGTTTCGGGAATTCCACGTCTTGTGGCTAACACTAGAAGTAACAATGACATTTTCACTAGTAAAGATAGTGCCACCAATTATGAACACTCCTCCCACATTTTAATATCGTCTTTATACTTATAATAACCTATTTCCCCTTCTATAATGCAACCTTAAGTCTACTTTAGTTAGCCAATGAATAGATTACATAAGCAAGATACAAGAAAAGAAAAGGAATCATGTCTAGCTAGTACAATCTGAGTGTGGAATTTTCTTGTTAGTTTCTTAAATCTTCTATCGATTTCTATCGCCCGCTCTAGAAAGAAGAATAAAATCGAAAGAACATACAAAATTGTTAAAGAAAAGAATATAGTTCAAAGAACTAGAGATGTTTTAAATAATATCAAAAGAAGTTACAAATCATGAATCCTTTTAACCCAACCCCCTCCATGGAAAAAGAAAGAAAAGACAAGAAAAACTAAAATAGAGAAGAAAAGTAGTTCTAAGATACTAAACATGAAAATCCTAATTAGTCCTGCAAGTCTCTCTCCCAAGAAGCTACATGTGTGTGTCCTACAGAAGGATGAATTTTTGATAAATCCACAAATTTTCTTTACTTGTTTTTTCTACACGTGATGTGATGATGTTTGCTCTTATTGTATTTAAGCAGTTTGGTTAATCCTCAGACGACATTGTTGTCGTTCAGTTGCTGCTGTATGAACCACATGTCCTCAGTGTTCCACACATTGTCCATCCATTGACTCATGTTTTGCTGATCCATTGCAGCATGGAATTCTAGACCCGTGGGGATGGTTAAAGATTCTCCGAGTTGAGTACTTTGATGAAAATAATCTTGCTGATTGTTACTTATAACTGGGGGATAGTTGTAGCAACAATCAGTGATGTCAGAAACAGGCGTCCCAAATGAGTTTTCTGATGAAGCTGCCGTGCTAATTGAATTCTCACTCATTCTTGGCTTATTAATAGCGTTGTTATTGTTGTGAATAGGCACAACTTCAGATATACCCATATTTGGATTAATTGTCACTTGATTGGAGTTTGTGGTGGCAGCTGCTTGAATTCTCTCAACTAGCCTTGGCATCCATAGATAACGCATGGTATCCTTAAATTGCTTGCTGTTCACGTCGCATTTCAGTTGTTTGGCATGCTTTTGCACTCGGGTTCTCCAGTAATTCTTGATCTCGTTGTCAGTTCTTCCTGGCAAATGCTGAGCAATTTTTGACCACCTACACTTATATAACATAATTGATCAGAATCGAGTACCCAAACAAGCCTGAAACTACACTCACTAATGTTTAACATACCGATTGCCCCAACGAGAATGCAGCTCAAGAATCACAAGTTGTTCTTCAAGAGTGATGTTTCCACGTCGAACATCCGGGCGGAGATAATTTAGCCATCTCAATCTGCAACTTTTCCCAGTTCGCTTTAAACCTATTACAGTTCCATGCCATTCAAGTATTACATTTCTCATTTCTGAGCTCAATTATTGATAAAGTTCATACATGTAGCAATTACACTTTTTTTCTTCTCTTTTGTTTTTAATAATAAATCTTGCCAATTATATCTCCTTTCCTTTACCTTTATTTGTTTATTGGATGAGTTTTCTGCTTTTAAAGGATTACCTAGTACGGAAAGAAATTACAAACCACGCCCACTTAAATCCTTATCTAGCACGAACTGTCCAACATATATACCCATTGGTTAGAGACCAGAAAAGCCCATATTTTGAGAACTAAAGATCTAACCAGCACGATAAACGTGCGTCTCATCAATTAAATCAACGTCGTCGATGGTTAAATATAAAAAGAATAGGTGAAACATAACACATAAAAATATACCAGCAGAGCGGGCGAGAAAATTCCAGCGACCTTCACCATGGTGAGCTATGTTGTTGATGAGGGTGAAGTCTTCTTCGACGGTCCATGGACCTTGTCGGAGGTCCATGTCTTCTTCATGCTGTTGTTGATGGTTGTTATTTTTATTGTAATTACCTCCACGGCTCAAACCGACTTTAATATGGTGATGATCCATCACGACAAATGATTTTACTCTAAACGGAGAAACTGATTGATAGATGGAAAAAAGGTGTTGATAGATGAATCAGTTTTTGATCAAATTAAAGAGATGGAGAGAAAAAGGGCTTTAGAGAGAGAGAAATATGAGATGAGGTGAGAAGAAAGATGTATGTTTGGATTACTACATGAGAGAAGGTGGTGGGGGACTTTATATAGATATATAGAAAGAGAAAGTTTGGAGAAAATTTGTGACAATTAAAGAAAAAGATGGCATGTGAGTGAAGGATTGAAGAATTGAAGAATTTGAACTCGTCCTACTATCCCACAAAGCCGCAATATGCAATTAAGCTCTATAGTTTTTCTCAATGCTGGAGAAGTAACTAAATAATGTTTAACTCGTTTGACACTTTTGACTTGGCCTGTACCTTCTCCCCAGTTACATATTGTATTCTATTAGTTCCCAGAAAACAATATGTATATTGTGTTCCCATATTCTACTCTTTTTTTCTTCAATTTTTTTTTTGCCCCTCCAAGCAAGTTGTCATGGAATGTTAGACTTTCTAACTTCACCATTCATTTTCTTAACTAATTTCCTTGTTAAATTAGAAAATACCACTATGTTAAAAACTGAACCTAGGTGATATTATTATATGATCTTAATAAATAATGATGCGGAGCCATTTTTTTTTTTTTTTTT